CCTACACATGTTTGGTCTAGTGTGCATCCATTTGGAAGGCAGATGTTTGACCCTAGGATGTGTTCCTTAATGGCTTTTCAAAAATAAATAATTAATTAATTTGAGATATCCCTGGTTCATTTTTCCTTCCTTCTTTCCTTCCTTCTTCCTTCCTTCCTTCCTTCCTTCCTTCCTTCCTTCCTTCCTTCCTCTCTTTCTCTCTCTCTCTCTATCTTTCCTTCTTTTGAGACAAGAATCTCTCTGTGAACCCACAGCCTGATGCTTTGGCTATGCTAGTTGTCAGTGAGCCCCAGCTCCACGCATCTGCCCCTCAATGCTAGGGTTTCAGATTTTGCTTCTCTCAGCTTTTACCTGAGTGCTGAGGGTCTGAATTCAGGTCTTCATGCTTTCACAATGACCATTTTACCCACTGATCCATGCCCCAGTCTCCCTTCTTGTTTTTAGCCACCATAGAACAGAGCCTGGAGCTCAAGCTGAGGCCACAGGAGAAGTGATGAAGTCAGTCTGTGAGGGACAGGCTTCACTTGAGCTGCTTGCATGAGCCAGGGCCATTGGAAGAGGAGTGGGGACAGCTAGGGACAGAAAACCCAACTTCTAAGGAAAGCCCCTAATTCTTCCTTGTAGACCACCCGGTCACTTTCAGTCCCAGCAGGGTTGGCTCTAGCTGGGTTCTGCAGTTTCAAACAAACTCTTAAATATGGCTAAATAGAAAAAGCGAGCAGATTGGGGTCAGGGTGAAACTGGAGTTTTAGGGTGACACCTAGAGATGAACCACCCATGGTGGGAGTGGGGTAGAAGGAGGAGAGCTCCCAACATCAAACAGCGAGCTCAGCCCTCCTCCCCTTTTAACTAGCTGACCCGCTAAGAATTTTCTCACCTTCTGCTTTTTAATTAGGCAAAAATCTAATTAAAGAGTCAACTAATGAGAAGGGTAAAGTTCAGATGACTCCCTCAGGCCTTCATTTATAAAGCACTCCCCAGGGACAGCCACTGGGGTGAGCTCTCAGCTTCTACTTTTCAGCTTGCCAAAGAACTCAGGAGTCATTCAGGTCACAAAGGGTGGGCCTCTGTTCTCACAAACACTGGCTCTGTAGAGAGAGGTATGGCTGTCTGTCCTGCCCACCCCAGGCTCAGCCCCTAGTGTTGGCATAGTTGGCCCACACTCTGCATGGGGTGGGAAAAATAAATGGAGGTCTATCCTCATCTTAAAACCCACTGAGTGAAAGGTTCCTCACCCTTAAGAGGTTCTTGTCAAGTTGTACTTTCAAATAAGAAATCTAGATTCACCACTACACTGAAAAAAACCTCAGGTGTGATAAAGTTTCATGCCATGCTAGTGATGAAATAAAAATGTAAAACAGCCAAATTTTTCCCAGCCACCCTGCAAAACAACTTGTAGTCTCACAATAATAACAAAACAGACATCTACTGTTTTACCCAGCAAGTTACTCTTAGGCAATTCCCCTTAGAGAAGTGAAAATGTCCCCCAACAGAAGCTTAAGCAAGATGTCAATAGCAGCTCTTTGTGAAACTGCCTAGAACAGGAAACATCCAACAGAGCTGGGTTAGATTATGCTAAATCCTTACCAAGGGCTAGCATTCAGCAATAAAAAGGAACAAACCAGGGATTCAGGCAACTCAGATATACACCAAGAACATCACGCTTCTTGGGATGAGCGGGTCCCTAAAGGTCATATACTGTTCAGTTACATTTCTGTACATAACTTTATTGAACTAAAATAATTATTGTGTAAAAATGCTGATTTCTGAGAGACTGTTTGGAATAGTGAGGAAGTGGGATGGGTTGGGGAAGTCTAGAGAGTAGCAAAAGGCAGACTTTGGTATGACGGGACAGTCCTGAACCCTGGCTGCTCTCAGATAAATCTACTCCAAATGAGAGATCTGTCTTCCCAACCTCATTTTCCTGGATTGAAAACAATGCTGGTTAAAAAAGATATGGCCACTGAGGAGATGGAGGGAATACACATTCCTGTTAGAACCATCACGATCACAGAGTAAAACATTTTAAATGTGAATTTTAATGCTGAAGATTGGGAGATAAGCATTGTAGGCAACGGTTAACGGTCACTAGAGTAGGCTACTGGAAGCCTGAGCTACCTTTGCTGTCATCTTCAAGAACCACAAAGAGCTAGAGGCTGTACCTCCTCGACAGCCAAGGTGGCTCGTGGCTAGCAAGGGAGAACTTGTCTGATTTGATCTGACAATGAATCTGCCCACTCTTGGTTTCTATGTAGTGCACCACACACACATACACATGCACACACACACACACACACACACACTCACACACACACACTCACTTACATGCACATGGTGGTTAGGAGAGGTCACTGTAGACACCATGTGTCAATGTCACCCAGAGCTACCCTACTGTGGATCACTGCACCCTAGTTCTTGGGTTCTGCTTTCTGTGCTCTGCAGAAGTGTCCTGGCCTCCCTGCCTTCTAATGTGTTCTATGTAGACTTTTGTCTCAGGCCAGAAGACTAAAGGGTCAGGGGTACCTGGAGGCATGGTGCTTTTACACTGCCCCAGTGGACAGCAGAGGGAAAACACATCAGAGCACCAGAGCCAAAGGAGGGCCTGGGACAAACCGGTTCAGCACACACAACATCTTCCCAGCTTCTTCTGCCCATGACATCAAAATGTGACCTTTCCCCTCCCTTCTCCATCCTCCATATAGGCACATATTATTCTGGAATTCTTCTAGGCATGCTCATAGCAGGTGCAAGAAGCATGTGCAGAATAATGCACTCAACACACACGCTCAGATACAGACATACATACTCACATACACACACTCATGCACACATGCACACGCACACACACACACACATACACTCACCATACATACTCATACAAACACTCACACACACGTGCACTTACATACACACATACACACTTAGATACAGACATATACTCTCTCACACACATGTACTTACATACACACATACACACTTAGATACAGACATACACTCTCACACACACATGCACTCATACACATGCACATACACATGCATATACACTCACATATAGATACACACACTCGTACACATTCACACAGATGCACACACACACATACACATATACTCACACATATACACACACATATATACACTCACACATACTCAGACACAGATACACGCTCACACACAGAGACTCATACACCCCCTCACATGCACATGCACACACATACACACAGAGAAAATGCGTGTGCCCTATCTGTGAACACATTTCTGCATTTTCTGAGTTTTCATCAGTGAATGAAGATGACTTGCAAATTAAAGCTAGAGCTATAGTTAGCAAACGTAGGACAAGGCGAATTACAACAAAGGTCCATATTAGCTGGCCAGTGCTTTCTCCAGAATACCAAGACGAGGCAGAGGAACCCCCCCACCCCCCGACTGAAGGTGAAAGGACAACCAGCACAATCAGGAGTTTTGACCTGGATCCTGGACTAGGGAAAGGATATTAGTGGGGAAATGAGCAAACAGAACAACAATGGTCAATGGCAGAGTGCTAATATTAACTTCCTGGTTTGGAGAGACCCGTGGGGTTCAGAGTGAGGAGCAGATTTCCTGTACTGCCACCATGGCTTTAGGAGAAATCTAAAATTATTTAAAAATAAGTCAAGAAAATCAAATCGATGACAATGACTTCATCCCTTCAAAGTCCCGTGAAAGTACTTTTCCAGGAATCCAACTGCAGGAGGACAGGTGGGGACACCTGTTAGCACCTCTAGTGACAACTCTCTACCTCAGGCATCCAGCCTTCTTCCAGTGGCAACTCCCAGTGACAGGCCTGGACGCCTCCCTCATCTGGTTGGGACAGCAGTGCTTCATTCTAACTGTTCAGGGGAGGAAAAAAAAGCTCCCAAGCCTCCCTCCAGCCACAGAGACCCCTGGGAGGTAGCCACTCCTCTGATGATGATTTGCATGACTGACAAGCACTTGCTCAGTAGAAGGTGGCAGAGCCAACCTGCCATCCACGCAGCTGTTCCAAAGTAAGGCCCACACCCAGGGCCTGGCACACAGAGCTCGGGATGTGATCAGCCTGGCAGGATGCCCACGTGTGTGTGGGATTGGCGCTGGAAGAAAGCTGCCTCTTAGGTGAAGTCTCTATCAAGGCCACCCACCTGTGGGACCCACAAGCCTGGCTTCCCTTTCTTGATTGACAAGAATGGCTGTTGTTTAATCAATTTGCCTAAAGGTCACTCAATAAGACCTAACCTTCCAGAAAGACCAAGAGAAGGGAATGGGTTGACCACACCCATTTTATGTAAGCAGTCCTACTCCAAGTCTTCCTCCCAGCCCAGAGGCAGCATGGTCAAATTCAGGGCTAGGAAGAAATTTCACCCACAAACTAGATATTACAGGAGGTTTGGCGGGGAGTGGGGGAGGTGGATGATAGCAGGAGCCAGCGAGGGAACCTATTTTCTACCGAATGCACTGCTGAGTGCTGGCAGGGACCAGTGCCCAGTTCTGCTGTGCGGTGTCCCAGAGTCAGGCAGCAACAAGTTTTCCAGAGTAACCTGGGCGGTTCAGATCGTTTTATGGACGATGGTGTCATGAGCTCCCTTCGGCAGGGAGCACACGTAAATCAAAGTTCAAAGTCAGCTGATGTGATTTGAGAAAACACTGGGAGACCTTCTTTCAGAAGACCCTTTAGAGAATCCCCTAGTTCTTTGAACTTTAGGAAAGTGCAAACAGCTAGGGGGAAAGAAACCAGGTAAGAGAATTTCCTTAGGGCTCTGGGTAGTCTAGAAGGTGGCTGGACCCCTCCAGCAGGCAAGTGCCCTGGGGGTGGCTCCTCATCCTTTGGGAAAGAGGAAAATTCGCTCTAGAGGAACCCAGCCTGGGGTCAAGTGGACAACTGGGAAAGTGGGAGCCTGTAGCTAGCAGTCGGTTGCTATCCCTGTTTGCAGAGAGGTTCCCGCAGGTTCCGCCTCTCCCTCCCCGCAGGTGGGGGCAGCCACACTCACCAGTTCCGGTAGGATGAAGGCAAAGGGGATGGTGAGGAACAAGGCTGCGACCCCCGAGGGCACATCGGGCGGGGCGTAGCTGGTGGCCGGCGGTGTGTCCCGGGAGGCCATGCTGTCACCTATGCTGGCCTCTTTACTCCGCGGCACTCGCCCCGCTGCTGTTCAAGAATCACCTCCCACCCGACAGACACACCCATCGGTCGGAGGGACGTCGCCTGGGAGGGGAAAAGAAAGGTTCCAGTGGAGCAGGTCCTTCTGCGCACTGTGGCCAGCCAAGAGGGGGCCCAGGACCAGCCTCGCAGAGGCTCTTTCTAGACTTTCCCTGCTAAGGAACTTCTGAATGCTGTCGCTCATCCAGAAGAGGTGAGTGGCATTGTGTGCAAGGAACAGCTTTGTATGTATGCCCCTGATGATCTCCGTGCTCAAAGTGTAAGCAAGGGCTCTTTTGCTAAGATAAAAACCATTTATTGAGGACCTACTATGTGGATTAGCCACCTACAGACACTTCTGGAGCTCAGTTTGACCACCACCACGGGGCTATGTTGTACCTTTCCACTTACAGTCACAGAGTTGTCACAGCAGCGTGTCTGCCTTTGTCCTCAGATTCTAACTGAAGGATTGGAGCAACCTGGTTTTTCACCTCCTCAGGGACTCTGAATCTCTCTTAGGTCCTCTTCTCCTGTCTTCCTAGTCCAGCTAAGACACAGGGTTGGGGCCAGGCAGTTCCTTCCTGAGTAGAGCCTAGGGCTGGCTGCTGGGCTGTGCTTCCAGATCCAAAGCTGTTCCTTTCACACACATGCAAGTCAGGTCTGGAGACTGGACCACTTTCTTCTTTACCAACCCACTAACTTTCGGGCTTTTTTCCACCACCCTGAGGGAATGCCTGGCGCCCCAGAGTCTTCTTCCTCCCCTCTTTGGCTCCAGTAGGCCAGTTGGAAAGCCTCCTCAGGAGGAGGAGAGGAGGCATGGAAGAGTTGTCCCAAGGACTGGGGATATCCTGCACAAGAGCCCTGTGTCTTGTTCCTTAGCAACAGCAGGGAATTCCAGAGCCTGTCCTGGGCAAGGTGGGAGAAGTAGCGGGTTAGCTCTGCCTCATCTGGAGCCACCAGCAGAATTTGGAGAAGTAGCGAGTTAGCTCTGCCTGCTGGAGTGGCCAGTAGAGCTTGGATACATGCAGCTTAAAGACAAGGCATTGCAGGGAAAGGCAAAGGTCACCTTAGCAAGCTTTGAGACAGCCTGTCCTCGATCTTTTCCAAGTCCTAGAGTTCAGGTCCCCACATTGCTGACAGGATGGATCCAAAGCCATCCACCTTTTCTGAATGTCACACACAAGCACCATGTCTCTTTTTGTGGCTGCGGCCCCCCTTTGATGTGACTGTAATCTACATGGGGTATCTGGAAACATAGGGCAGAGTAAGATATACACACGGGTTCCAGGGATTGAACTTAGGCCATCAGGCTTGAGGGACAGTGCTGATAAGTCATCTCACTGGCCTCGAAAGTAGTAATTCAGAGTAGACTGTGAAGTCAACTATGCACATTGTACTTCCTAGAGCAGCTTCTAAACAAATTCTAGTGACACAAAGACACAGATCATCACTGGTGTTCTCTTTGGATGCTAGACTTCCTCCCGATTCACTGAGAGATCCTGCCTCAAGGGAATATGTCAGAGCATGATAGAGCACACATCTGTATAGACACATATTCACGTACTGTGAGTTCACAGAGTGCTATGTACACACACAAGTTCCAGCAAAGGAAAATTCTACCGGCAGGGAGCTTGGGGTAGTTGAAATGAAGAGATGGTAACGTGGATGGTACATATGAAGGCAGAGTATTGCCATGGTGAAGAGCAAAAACACAGCACTATTAGATAATATTTTTAGTTTAAATGTAGCTAATACAATGACCACCACACAGGGTAAGAGAGAGGTAAAGGGACCATATGAAGATAAAGTTTCAGTAGTCTATCTGAAGTGGAATTTTAATTTCACCTACTGTTTGTGTATGTGTGTGGGTGTACATGGAGGTTTGCCATTTTAGAACAGTTTCTCTCTCTAAAATCTACCTCAATTCTTGTTTGTATCATCTGTCTTCCTGTTGAAATGGTTTGTCTTCTCTTGGTTGCAAATGGATTTGCCCTTACTTCTTGGAGCATGGTTCTGATAACCACTTTAATGCCTTAGTTCCAATAACTATGTTGTCTTAGACTTGTCAGCTCTCGTTTTTCTTTTTGTCTTTTCCTCTTACAGATGTTGATATTTCCTCCAGTCTTCAAAGGTCAAGTGATTTTTGGATTGTCTCATGGACACTAGGAATCTTGTGTCATGGGATGTGCATCTTGTTTAAATCCTGTCATGAATACTGATGAGTTTATCAGCCAGTGAGCGTTGTGTCTCCTGTGGGCTGTGGTTTTAAGGTTGGATTGGTTTTGAAGGCTTTGTGGCACTATGCTAGCTTTGAACCCAAGGCCAAGCCTTGGACACTCTGGTTTCCTAGTGTTTTGTTTATGGTCAGCTTTGGGGTGAGCTCAGGCCATATGGACTATTTTATGGAGTGATTTCTTGTGCCCTCCCCATGCTGTGATTGCTCTAACACCTTCTAGAGGGGGGCTGGGGCAGATGCACAAGGGTTTGGGGGGATATTATTTTGATGAAAAAGATACAGTTTTCGTCGGGCAGTGGTGGCACACACCTTTAATCCCAGCACTTGGGAGGCAGAGGCAGGTGGATTTCTGAGTTCAAGGCCAGCCTGGTCTACAGAGTGAGTTCCAGGACAGCCAGGGCTATACAGAGAAACCCTGTCTCAAAAAAACAAAACAAAAAAAAAAAGGAAAAAATACAGCTTTCACCTCAAAAGGAGTAAGAGATAGTTTGTTCTGGAGCCAAATTTGAGTGCCCATAGCCTGGAACACAGAGGGTATCCCAGGATTTGTGTTTCACAGTCTTACAGCTGCAGAACACAGAAAGTCATAAAACGAAGTAATTTTAAAATACTTGGGTGGAAACATCAGAGAACCAAATCTTCCCTACAGGCCTTAGATGCTGTCTGATGATGTCTCTAGCTTTTGACTTGGTAGAAACCAGTGGTCTGCTAAATTAATAAATCCTCAAAGGTTTTTATCTGTTAATCACCGGATGTCAGGTCTGACACAGAGGTGGGCAAGGAAATGGCTGTTTAGAGGGCTAAGGCTAAGAGACAGGGTAAGATGTAGCTGGGCTCTGGGCCTGCAGCACTCTGCCCTCTCCACACCACTGCAGTCCCAACCAGTCAACCAGTGTCTGCAGTCATGGTTCCTTTCCAGGAGTTCTCCTTCATAGTATTGATCATCATCAGAAAGAATCTAGTCTCACCCAGGAGTCAAACCACCTCCAGGGTCATCTGTGAGGGGGCTTCTCCACTGGCTTGAGGTAGAAAGACCTGTCCTGAATGTAGTGACAGCATCCCATGGATAGGATCTCACCCTGAGTATAGAGGGGAGGGTGAGCTGAACACCAGCATCCATCTCTGCCTCCTGCCTGGGATGCAGCGTGGCCAGCACCCTATGTTCTCACAGTCATGCTTTGCCTGCCATTATAGACTGTCCCTCAAACTGTGAGCCAACCAAAGCCTTCCTTCCAGCTGCTTCTGTCAGGGATTTTGTTGTAGCTTTGCATGCTCTCTCTAGTTCCGAGGGCTCTTTCTGTTCGTTAGGCCAGACATTAAAGGCCACTTTTGGAGATGTCTTTGCAGCCTATGTCTAGTTCTGAGCAGTTCATGGTCTAGAACATGGCCTCTGTGTCCTGACTGGGAGGTACCAGAGGGGTGAAAATGGGAAAGTCGGGTGTGTATGATCGTTTGCAGCTACAGTCTCAAAATGTGGGAGGCTGAGGCAGGAGGATTACTCATGAGATCAAGGCCCACCTGGGCTACAGAGTGAGGCTGTGCCTTAAGCAAAAATAAAAAACAAACCAACCCAAACAAAACCTTCCAAAATAATATGAGAGAGAGAGAGAGAGAGAGAGAGAGAGAGAGAGAGAGAGAGAGAGAGAGGAAGAAGGAGGAAGAGAAGGAAGAGGAGGAGGAAGAGGAAGAGGAAGAAGGAGGGAGAGGGAGGGTCACCACAAGCATGGTAATATTTTTAATTCTGCTTTTCTTCCCCTACCTCCCTCTCCCTTGTTTCTGTTGAGTCCTGATCAAAGGTCTCAGTTCCAGCCAGTGGGCAAGGGAAGACAGACTACTCTCGGCTCGAGCTGAGTATGAACCTACCATCGCGTGTTAATTCTCTGCACACTCTTACCACAACCGGGAATTTCTCAAGCTCATTTACTCTCATTGCCATTTGTCCCTGACCCTTGTCCCTCACCCTTCCTTAGACTATGGGCTTCAGGAGGTCAGGGGTATTCTTGCAGTGGGCCACTGTGCCATCTGGAATGGTGCCTGATGTCACGGAGGACCCACAATGAACATCTCATTTCTCCAGTCATAAAGATTCTAGTGACAACCTTTCCCCTCCTTCTCCCCTTTCTCCTCCCCCCCTTTCTCCTCCTCCCCTTCCTCCTCCTTCTCCTCTTGCTATTTTGATAGCCTCCAGGTTGGCCTCTGGGAAAGAACAAAGTTCTGCATTAATCTTTGCTGGCAGTATGAGACACAGATGGGCAGGGTAAGGTCCAAAATGCCTGTAGACTATAAGAAACTGACTAACCCAGAGTGAGCTACCAAAGTCCCAACTGTGAGCTGCACCCCATTAATGATTTCAGTGTTATACTGCTGCCTGTAGCCCACATTTAGTGCCAGTCACCGCTGAGTCAGATGCCATAGGCCACAAGTGTCCTACCTGTGTGGCAATTCAGCTCTGCTCTGGCTATTTCCGTGTCCCTCATTCCTTCCTTCCCAAGCTGATGTGATTACCGTGGTGGATAGCAGGAGCTCAGCTGGCAAGCTGGATTTCCAGGGACAGTGTTATCAGATGTATGTGGTCCCAAAACAGTTTTGGATGTAGGAGTTGAGATGGCTCCAAGGTCAGGTAGTGGTTTGGAGAGGGAGCATCCAGACAGGAATGTGTATTGTTTACATATTGCTGACTGTACTGCCATTGGGCCATAAATGCCCCAGTTATAGACTATTGGAGTTGATTGAGTGTACATGTATGTATGTATGTGCACATGGAGCCTAGAGTACATCCACAGACACCGTCTACCTTGCTTTTAGAGTCTCTCTGTGGCCTGGAGCTCACCCAGTCGGCTGGATTGGCCTGCCAGTAAGCCCCGGAGGCAGCTGCTGGTCTGGGCCTCTCTAGGCAGAGCTTTCCATGTTGTTGTTGTGCTTGGCATTTTTTTAAAATGTGTCTTTGTGTTTATGCAGCATTTGAGCTACGGCCACAGCCCAAACTGTTAGAATTCAAATGTCACAAAAATGAGACACCGTTGTAGGACCTCATAGCCTTCATACCCTTCCTTTGAGCGTGTTTCCTGTGGTTCCTGCCCATTTGTGCATGCTGGAAGTTAGGAAAGAGACAGCACTCAGCTTGGTAGTATAGTAGTTGTCCCAGCAACATTCTGAGTAAATAAGGGGATACACAGTGACACCCCTCAGATGTGCAGGCACTTAAGGAAGTGCAGTCCTGTCCCCACCTCTTTGAATTGAGGAAACAGAATACATTGCAGTGAGCCAACAACCAGGTCTGATCATTGTCCCTGCCAGAGAACTCCTCTGCTTTGGGAATACTTTACACAAGAGGAAGTGTGGGGACCCTGCAACGGATATCCTACCACACTGCAGATGGATAAAGCCTTCTCTTGAAGACGACACCTTTGCTCCTTTCTTCCTTTGTAGAGATAATGGCTTTCCAAGATGCTTCTGGGATGGGCAGGCAAGGCTGCCCTGAGCATGGGAACACTCATCCAGAGACTTCCTAGGAGTACACAAGACCCTAGACTCACTGAAGCCTGACTCCCTGCCCTTTAGCATCGTCTCAAGTGCCCAGGGATAGGGACCTCCAGCAGACTTGATGATACGACATTCAAGCAGTGACAAGAGGGGCTGAGGAAACAGTTCAGTGGGTAAAGGGCCTGCTGGGAAAGTGTAAGGACCTGGGTTCAGATCCCCAGGACCCACATAAAGCCAGCTGTACTATGCATCTGTAATTCGAGCACTCCTGAATTGGGAGGCAGAAGCAGGAGAATTACAGAAAGATCAAGGCCAGCTAGCCTTGTACAACAGAGCAGAGAACAAAGATCCTCCCCAAATGATGTGCTTTAGGACTGCAGCCCTGAGCCCTGAGGTTGTCCTCAGAACACACACACACACACACACACACACACACACACACACACACACACATTCTAAAAGGCAGTAATA